CCCGAGGGGAGCTGAAGATCTCTGCAGTGTCAAAGTCTGATGAAGGTTTCTACAAGTGTCAGTACTCAGGAAGAGAGTCAGCACAGAGCTGGATGTCAGTTAAAGGTGAGCAGGATCAAGACATGTGACGCATGTTTTTTTGTAAACCATTTTGATATTTGAGAACTAGCATGATTATCATTAAGTACAGTCATCATAAAGAATAAAGTGATGTGCTGTCCATAAAGAATTTTGGGTGTTTTGAAAGTCATTTGGTTCTACTTTTGCAATTTTCTTTGCAGTAGGTGTGTTATGTCCTGAAAGCTCTTCTTTGCCTGTGTGGTTGATTGTTGGATTGGCTTGTGGAATCTCTGTCTTTATTATTGTCCTGCTCTCGTTTTATCACTTTAGAAAAAAAAAGGGTGAGACCTTTTCCTTGATTCAAACTTCAAAATTTAAATGTAAAGATAACTGTGACATTTATAACAGGGAATTTTATTTACATTAACAGCGAAACAATTGTCTTTTTTACAGATTCAGGCTTCATCAGGTTGGTATTTTTTTATTGTAGTAAATATATTTATTAACCTGCAATGCATGCGTTTATCAGACTTTTTGCATGTAATTGTTATGTTTTTATTATGCCATACAGTCCAATGACCACCACCAATCATGTAGTCAACCAGAGTGAAATTCACAAACACAACTCTCTTGACCATGGTCAGTTCTTCTTTAAGTTTTCACTTACCCTAACTCTAATTCTTTGCTTCAGTTTTTGGTCAGCTGTTTTCAAAATAATGTTATTTAAAATATGTATTTAAAAATCAAAAGCTGTGAGACTGAAACTTTTTTTTTCAGTTGAACTAAAGTAAAATGACAATAACAGATCGGAGTTAAACCAAATTTTTTTTATACCTGATTGTATCCTTTATTACTTGATTGAAGTAATCTACAAATGTTATTGTTGTATATTAATTACACATACTACAACATCATTATGACTTCAGTGGATGAAAATGCATTTTTATTTATACAGTATGAATCTAAAATCTTCATTAATCTCTAAAAAAGGCCTCAGGATTTTCTATCTTTGTTATTACCTTTAAAAACAAGTGATACCTGCTTGGCACAAAATAACTCCTGGCTTGTTATTTTATTTTTATTTTTTTTTATTTAGGTACTGCTAAGCTCTATGAATCAGTAACCCATGTGGGAAAAAAAAAACTGGAGATGATTTAATATATACAGTACAAATAAAGCTATTTTTTTGTTGTTAGTATTTTTATTTTTGTTTTTTCTAATTTAAAGAAACTAATTCTGTGTGATATGTTGGCATTTCAGTTGCAGGTGAAATGCAAGATGTTACATACTCTGTAATTCAGCTTAAACATGTTGGAAAAAAGAGTGAGTATGTAAAAAACATTGAACATGAATATATAATTTTTCATAATTGAGAAAGTTCAAATTATTAAAGTTTTTCATATGATTATCTAAACAGGGAAGCATCATAAATCACAGGAGCATACTATTTACTCAGAGGTGAAGGTGGGAGTTGAAGGTAAAGTCATAACAGTCTCATTGTTTGCATTGCATGCAGTTTCAGGTCAGCTTAGCAGTTACCAAGTTTAGCTACTTTCATAGGATTAATAAATATTACCAGAGTTGAATCTTGCACACATCGAAGATCATTTGGATATTTTGGATATTATTACATTTGCCTGCCTTATATACAGTATTTTTCAACCAATTTGTGATTTATAGTTGCTTTCCATTTGTTTCTTAGATATATGCATGACAGATAAATAGCTTTTTCCTATGTTTTCACTCTCTATTCATATTCCTAGAATAAAATTTATTGGACTTTTTATTTTGCTGGTTGTTTGCAGGTTGTACATGAACGCATACATACTGTATGCTATATATATATATATATATATATAGATATAGATATATATAGATATAGATATATAGATAGATATATAGATATATATTTATGAGAGAAAAAGAGGACGTTTTTATATGGTTGATTATTTTTTGTTGTAAAATGCTTCTTGGCAATTAAGTCTGTTAAATGGTCCCTTAAATGGTACCACATTTGTAAGGAAATTGCATTTGAGCAACAAAGCTGAGTATGCGGGTTGTGCCCATGAAAAACTACTACAGGGGCTGGCAGTCCGGTGACTGAGTGGGGCCTGATTAGTAGCGCCTGTGAGGATAAACTGCTACAGCAGTCAGTTGGTATCTGCACCAAGCATGTCACATTTGACTGATATTGCCCATGCAATAGGTCAACTTCAAGCTGGAGTTCCACAAAACGTTCCAGTGTTATTCAGATTTGGCCCTGGTACCATCTCCAAATTGAAGAGGAAGATACTTGTAATGGAGGATGTCTTCCCAAAAAGATCACACCACAAGAAGACCGTTTCCCCAGCCTGTCAGCACTCAGAAACATCTTCTACAGATTTGCAGTTAAGGTTTGCACAATGATATAGCTGATAGCTCATTGTACCCAAAATAAATTTCACAAACCAAATCTCCAGTCTCATGGAGCTGCCAGGAGGCCCTGCCATAATTGTTCTTCACAATCAGGTCCACTTGTACTGGTGTCAGCAACTTTTGCACTAGAACCTGAACATATGGAGGAATGTTGTGTTCAGCAATGAGTCAAGATTCTACCTATGGATTATAGAGTCAAAGTGTGGAGAAGACACTAAGAGCACTATGCTATATGCTGGACTGACAGGGTAGAGCTGGTATGATGGTTTGGGAGCAACCTCTCCCTCACTGGAAAAACAAGTCTGTTCATCATTGGAGGTCATTTCCATGAAGAGAGATATCAAGATTAGATGTATGAATGTGTGAATGAATGTAGGAAGCACTGAGTTTAGAGAAAGTGCTTGTGAGAATGGGTGTGATTGGGTGATGTGGCATCACAGGATTCACAATGGTATAATATTTATTGATGAGAATTATTTTTACAACATGTTACATTGTTCTATCTTATATATCAAATCAATAATCGTGCATTAGCTGCGGTGTCAGTGACAAAAAGCTGATTTTCTTTTCAGTGTCTTAAAAATAGTTTTAGTCCACCTCTGAATCTGTCTATTAATTCAACAGCTCTGTATCACATTTTGGATGAAAAAAATCTGACTTATTTTTTTTTTATACGAGTCTGATTTATGTTGAGGTCACACACCACCCAAAAAAAGTAAAGAAAGGAAATAACTGGCAACGTCTGTCATCAGTCCCACTGAATATTGTTCAATATGCTTATCTTTTCTTGAAAATATAAATCTTTTTATGCATTTTTATGTCTGTAGTCACAGTTTACATCAAGATTTGTAAATCAGTTGATGCTATCATACTCCTTCTTTCTTTTCCTT